GAACTGTTTGTGATTTTCCAAGTCCCATACTTGCCAGTCATAACCTATCTTAACTTAGTTTCCCTGGGCAAGAAATGCAGGAGATAAGTATGGCTCCTGGGGCGTGAGGAGACTTAAGTTGACTTCCTGGAACAGGGATCATTAAGAAGAAGAGAAAAAAGAAAACAATCCATAGTCAGAACTTAATTCAAAGATCTGTGATCTACTGGAGCTGTAAGGCTAAGAGCCTGATAATTGTAACAGGATGGAATGAAGATAAGGATTCTCCTGAAGGGTCTTTGATTCTGGAGCTGACATTCCCTCTCTGTTAGTCTGCCCTTAAGTACAGACTATCTTATCTTCAAAAACATCTTCAGACACTTCTCTCCAGCTTTTTGACAGTGATAATTAACCAGATTTTTAAGATTTTTCTCTGGTGGTGATATGGATTGTATTACTAAGCTGAATGTCCTTATTAATAATGGTTTACAATATTTATGTGTCTAGATGGACACGTAAGTGCAAATAAATAATTGCAAGTTATGAATATAGGCTGCATGCAGATTTTCCTCTTTGTTTTGCATTTAAATCTACATATTCCACTCCATCAAAGTATTAGTCTGGAATATTAGAGTAGTTTACTTAAGATCAGCATAGTGCACTGCAGCTTTCTTTTACAGAATCCTTTAACGTGCTTTTCATATTGCATCCACTATTTTTAGAAAAATGGCAAAGTGTCTTGTCTTCCCCCGAGTTTAGATACTCCTGCTGTTCTCTCTTTTCCTTTAATGTGACAAACCTTAAAGCTGTAAGGGACCTCTGATGGTGAAGAAACTCGAACACTGGGTTCTGAAATGTACTTTTCCAGAAATCAGTTTTTAACGGCTCTACTTGCTATGATGGTAACAGAAACTATTTCTAGAATTTGAATCTGGACTGATACCAGGCTGCTGAGCTTTGGCCTGACTGGGTCATCCTTTTCAGTTACCATTTGATAGATTGGGAATTGGTTATTCATCCTGTTCACAAGTGGTAAAAGGACAAGATGGGCAACTTCTGAACTTGCTTCATCTGTTGCTGGGTTTTTACTCTGTGAAGAACACAAAGACTAGGGTTGAGATAATACTGATAGTGTGGGAGACTCACAAAGAAAAATTCATTGACATAATAAGGTTGGACAGGTTTTGCATAAGACTGGTCTCTGTTTCTCAGAGTCTTTGGCTATGTCAACACTGGACTTGCAAGCTTCTCTGTCCAAGGAAATAAGTTTGCAGCAAGCTGGAATTATGACGCAATGGGAACCCTGCAATGACTGCTTATTTGATATTTTTTTAAAGAAGAGGTATTCTCCTTTGCTTTCAATGCAAAGCAATTCAGCTTGTGGAAGGAAACCCTCAGCACATACAAAGAGTGCCTAACACAGAGCCAGTGTGGAAGCCCAACTTCCCACTGTGTCAAGAAGACTTGTATCTTCAGTGTCCTCAACAAACTCTTCCCCTAGAAGAGAAGGTCTTTAAGGAACCCCAGGTGGGTCCCTTCGCAGGGTTTCTTGTAAACTCTTTCCATCTTTTATAGGGGTTATTGAGACTATTACATAGCATTGCTATAATCTTAAACAAGCTGGGTAATATGCCTAATTCTCTACTGGTTGGAATCATGCCTAGTCATTGACACCTCCACAAAGAGAGTGCCACTTAACAATTCTCCACTTTCCTGCAACACTGATAGAATTTTGCAATCATGTGTACTCTTTGCACAAGAATAAATGAGTGAACAGTATGAGAAGCAGGAGAAAATAACCCTTACTTTTTTTGGTTCTGTGTGAAAGAAAGAGACAGTGGACCAAAATCCAAACCTTAATTTCTTCTCTGGAAAACTTGGATAACTATGCTTGTATAATTGCCATTTCCATAAAATTAGGATTTGACTCTACTCTTCTTACAAATTACCATCTAAACCAGGATAAGAATGGTTCACATAAGTAAAATCTCTTGTAATGATGATTTAAATTATTTAAATTTTGATTCCTTCATACAGTAGTGAAAAATATAGTTAATCCAGTCTGCCATAAAGTGACTTTCATATCTGTTCATTTTATTTCGCTTTTGATATTTTACTTTTCTTCATTTAAAGTAACTGACATTTATTTGGATAAAGCAAGCTAGGACCAGAAGTAAATAATTCCATCTTGGAAAAGACGGTTATGGGCTTTTTCTATGATTTCTTCTTACTAGAAGTTGCATCCACTAAAATGAGTGGTTGTAGTCCTATTAAAGATATGACAATACAGATTAACAGGTCTTTCATACACCAGGAGGAACAAATCGTGCTGTATTTTTCTTCTGATATCATTTGAAGTTACAATATTTGAATTTTCTTTTGTGAGGTTATGGAACAGATTAGGGAAGCACCGACTCTTAGGAATTCAGCTGCTGATTAGGATGGGAAGGCAATGAGAGCTTTAATTGAACTTTTATTTCTTGGGCTGCTATTAACTTTTTTAAACCAGGGTATTAATAACCTCATCAAAAAGTCCAAACACTGATATAGCGTGTGGGAGAATCCTGCTGGGGATGCTCACAAATAGGAGAGTATATGCAGACAGACAGAAATTTGTCCATAGAGAGAGTGAACTGGTGTTTCTGTGGTTTGAAAGGATGGTGCAGAGCAGAAGTTTTACAGCTCCACACATCCTGTGCATACACACATTACTTTTACATAAAGAGACAAAGATATCTTTATCCGCACGACAGATAGACAAACAGACTGACTGACTTCAAACTTGCACTTTCAGTAGAGATTTTTTCCCCCCATCTCCGGGTACTGCTTTTCAAAATTGCCTGAGGCTACAGTACAGCACCTCAGATCCCCAAGGCCCATTGCCTGGCTCCTAATAGCCACTCTCCATCTGTGTCACATGAACAGCTGATGAGATAGCTCCAGTGTCTGTATTTTGGAGAGCATATCCACCCAGGTTAAAATGCTGGGGTTGCCAAGGAGCAGTCAGAAGCCATTAGTGTTTGTGAGAATTTGCCTTGCAGCAGTTCCTTGGCATAGTGGAAAGAGTGTGTGCCTGTGTGTGTGCGCGCGCACACGTGTCTGTGAGAGAGGGGTAGGGTGGAATACGTGGGGGGGAAGAAAGCAGCAGAAAGGAGTGCTTTCTAAATAACTGATGTATTGCAAAAGCAAACAGTTGGTTACAGTCTTGAGAGCTTCCATAATCTCTTCAACTAGTTCACTGTGATTTGGCTCTCCTTTCTCTATCGTTAATAGAAGAAAAAAAAAAAAAAAAAGCACGAGAAACAGAGCAGCGACTTCAGGGTCTTGCTCTGGTGTTTGGGCAGATGGAAAGGAGCTGCTCTGCCTTGGGGCAGGGTGGTTGTAATGAAGTGGCCTGTCAGTCTGTAAATAGTGAGGGTCATCTCTTCCATGTGATGGAGGGTATCACATTGCAGTGAAAATGGAAATGTCAATAAAATTAATCTGCCAGCTCTTTGCTGTGGCTTTTTCTGTCTCTCCCATCCAAAAGGGTCGGTTTTTCAGAGGGGACGCGGTACAAGAAGGGTGATCTGGCATAGGAGGGAAGATGGAGCTGAAATGCAAGTTTTGAAGCAAATGGACTGTATGTAGCAGCAATGTATTTCGTTTAGTAGCACTACAGATCTAGACGAGGCTATAGGAATTAGCTCATGAATCTATAGCATTCCTCAGGAAGCTATGGAGCGTCTAGCTCAGGCTACATTGAGCACAGAGTTTATTGTTTTAGGCTTTCTTGGACAAGGTTTTTACTTAGCATGGGATTTATGGCATTTACTGCTAATGAATGTCTATTCTTAAATTACAAAAACCACCATCTCAGCACAATTCCCAGATGTCCTTCCAGGACCTCGGCTTCTTAAACACCAGCAGGGAGCATAAACTCTCCACTTCTCTGTTTTCCTCTTTCGTGTGGCTCCAGGCTAATGATGTGTAAGGAAAACACAGCAATCTATAAAGTCTCAGTGCTGTCCCAGTATTCTTCATTTATTTTGCATTTGATTATTCCAGAAGTCGGATCTTGTTTCTTTCCTTTTTTTAAAGTTATTAGTTCAAATATTAATGTAGGAATATGGCATATATTGCTGCTCTTGATTGATGCCTTCCCAAAAACAGGAAGACGTGCTCGTATGAATTTTAAGAAAGTAGGGGTCCTGCAATGCCTTGCCAGAAGAGTTTTTCAGATACATAATTTAGATGCCCTCCAGGCAGGCTTTCAAGGCATTTTTGCTGGAGGGCAAGAAAAAATAACTATGACTGTTAAAAGTAAATGATTTTTGCTAATGCACAATTAATGCCAGGGAAAAGCACAGAAGAGAAGGATGTTGATGGAAAGTTCTGATTAAGTGAGAGCTCTACCTTGATGTGCATCTTTTTTTTTTAATGATAATAATCACTGATGCAGAGATGTAGAAGTTTTCATGTCATGCAAATGCTGTATGCAGGGTCACACTAGGTGTACGTGTTTGTGAGTGCGTGTGTACGTGTGCTGGGAGGTGATGGTTACTGGGAGGGGCTCATCTGACAGTGTGTTATGTGCACTGAACGGTGACATGGTTACTGCCACCTCTGCAGAGGGCCTCGAATATATAGACTACAGAACATTTAACTTGATTACTTATACGTACATATTCAGAATGGTTGTAGGTATGCATTTACAGTAAATGGGTTTTCTTGTGGTAGGTTTTCCCACATTGAATCCCATAATTGAAAAAGAGCTACTGCACTATGTCAAGCACACAATTATAATTGAATTAATGATATATGCATGTGTGAAACACAAAATTAGTATTTGGAGAGACACAGTTTTCTAATTTTTACATATTTGCATCGGCATTCTTATATAATGAGAAACAGTATGTGCCTGATCTAACAAATAAAAACCCCCCAAAATGTCGTAGTGTCTTGGCAATTAATGATATTTTTTGGCTTCTGTATTTGGTTCATTAAACATCTCCTCCTTCCTGTTTTTCTCTTTGTTGTAGGTGATGGTTTAGACAACAGTGTAGCCTCACCTGGTACAGGAGATGACGATGACCCAGACAAGGACAAAAAGCGTCAGAAGAAAAGAGGCATTTTCCCCAAAGTAGCAACAAATATCATGAGAGCGTGGCTTTTCCAGCATCTCACAGTAAGTGGTGACCAAAACCAAAATAAATTCCTATTCATGTGCCTAATGAGGTTTATTCATCATTATTAGAAATCAATTATATCCATAATTTTTTGCCCATTATTAGGTCTCAGGATTTGTTGCTTTTTTTTTATTAGATTTTTTTTTCCTTAGGTCTTGGAATCATGATAAGTCTATCTATCTCTATAGAAAGAAAAAGAGAGAGTACAACGCCTTAGCAAGGAACACCACCTATATACAAAGTAACCATTTTTGGCTTTGAACTATTCAAAATCCTCCTACGGACAGCAAAAGGGGGATTCTTGCTTTAACACATACAAAGCTCTGCCTTCCAGATTCTTTATTGCTGGCCTCTGTTTACACAAACTTTGTATGTATGTGGTGAAAGAGAGAGCCCTGGTCTGTGTGCGTGTGCTGACATACACTGTGGATGTTAGAGAAGTTAAAGCAGCAGCTTGCAGTCTTGTCATTGTTACTTTTTTGTGAGGAAATAAAGAAGGCTTACAGATTCCCTAATTTTTCAGTTGTGTAACAGAGAGAATAAGAGCCTTTTTTGCTTCTCTTCAAGTCCATAAATATTAAAACAACCATATTCACATTTGGGAGGAGAGAGATTAAATAAGTGAAATAGCAGTGCTTTCCTTGGGCATTATTTGTCTGCTTGCTATCGGTTTTGTGTTGGTGTTCTGTTGACTATTATAGCTTCACTTAGGCATCAAAGCACAGTTCCACAGAAAACCTAGTAAACCTTGTTTACTTCATGTGGGAAATGATGGAAACTGGTAAAATTATCATTTTTCTTCTTTCTCGCACTTTGAAATTGTTTCTTACTTGATAAGGCTTGAAATGCTAACTGTTATTAACTGCCTCTTCTTCTATCAAAGTTTTATAAATTTCCATGGTTTTATAAATTCCTGCTGTTGGTTACAGTGTAATGATTCCGGGACCCAGTTTATTTATGATAGAGGCTATCGAACTGCTCTGCCAGCAGCACAGCTAAAGGAGGGAGCGATAGATTCACATTTCTAAACCATCATTTTGATGTAAGGACATTAGTAGCAAACTAAGGTGCATTGATCTGGCCTGTGGGGTCAGGATTAGCTGGAATAGCCAGTGTCTCTGCTGGAGTAGTGGTTATTCCTGCCTCTCAGCTATGGCCATTTCAAAGGTCAGGTGCCCTGTACCCACTTGGCTCAGAGGAATTAGACAGAACATGAGTCTCTGGGCTGATTACTTAACCAAAGACAAAATAATGAGTCCTAAGCAAATACTGACTAATTGAAAGGGCTGTAAATCCATTACATATTGGTCAGGGATAATCAGGAGTATTTAATCACTTTTATCTATTCAGGAGCACTGAAGCTGCAACAGCAAAGCCCTGAACCTTGCCATGTGCTTATTATTCTCATCATTATCAAAATTACTTCACAGCTGTTCTTTGCTACATCACCTCAGCTGGAGATTTACTAACCTGTAAAATGTTTTTAATTTGGAAGTCGAGTAAGTGCGAGTGGAGGGTTTTTCGTTTAGCTGTAGGGTATCTTTAGATGAGTAGAACAGGCAGACAGCAAAAAGCAGGACCACAAATAAACAAGTTTGGTTTGTAGACACCTCCATGCTAACTCCATTTCCTCCTATGAAATTTGTGATATCTATTTTTTTTCCTTTCTGCCTTTCTTTCTTATGTGCTCCTTGAAAGCATTTGACACTTGCTTATTAAACAGTCAACTGCCTCTTGCTTCTCTTGAGGAAAGTCCTTCTGGCTTTTTGAAATCCCTTTTCCTTGTTTCCATCCTCTCTCTCCTGACCCTCTCCATCCTGCATGAATTAAGGAAATTTGCCGTCACTGGTGAGGATGGCCTCACAAAAATCAGATTAAATGAACACAAACCTTTTACCGTCCAGGCTTTAATGAGTTTGCAGGTGTTGAAAGATTTACTGCGCTGTAATTCTCAGACCTGCAAACTGATAATGGAGACCCCTGACCAGTGCAATGTAAATTCAGAAAGATTCTTGCCATAAACACATGCAGGGAAGGAAGAAAACTCCTTTCTTTTAAAGATCTCACACTTTTTCTCAAATTAGCTTGTCCATTCAAAATGTTACTCTGGCTGAGCCAGAACCGGGGAATCTGTGATGTACAATTTTATTGTTTCAAGTAAATATCTTTACAACGACAGTCCATGATTCAATGTACATTCCTTCATTACTACTCTAACCTTATTTCAAATTAGTTTGTTCCTCTTTTGTGCTGTATGACCTGTTCTTGTATTACAATAATCCCCCGATATACCCTTTTTTCTTTCTCTCTCTCTCTCTCTTTTTTTTTTTTTTTAAAGAAACTAATAGAATTATCTCATTATTTTAATTTGTTAAGCAAATGTATTTTATGTCTCAGGATGTGTTCTTAAAGAAGGAGCTGCTTAGGCTTTGCCCCCTGAATGGGCCATTGGTACATTTTGACATTCATGCATTCATTAAGGAGAGGAACATAAAAGAGCTCTGGTTGTATTTTTTTTTTCAAACACCCAACCAGCATGGAGCAACTTTTCCATAAGCCACAGGGGTCTCTCTACATATGTTCTCAACTGCAATCCATTGTCACCTATTCTGAATACCTCAAAAGGACAAATAAAAAACTAAAGGCCAACTGTAGCAATTGTTAGCTGTTAGTCTCAATATGACAAAAATCATTAACCTCTGATTTCCCTGGAAGGAGAGGCAGTGGCAGTCCATCTCTTCTGGCATGGATTAAATGTAGAAGTCCTTTAGACTGTCAAATTCCAAGAGAGTAACTCAGATCTGACTAATTGTATTTACTTATGATTTTAAATAAAATGCTATTTTTTTCCTTCATTCAATCAGTTTGCAAACTCCTAAGGCAGCCAATTTTAAAAATTGAATGGCCTAAGTGGCTTTTTTGAAGAGACAGGCACTTGAACTCTGATGTAGAATGAATGTGTCTGACAGGCTGTGTCTTTCAAAACAATTTCTAACCCCTATCACGGCTTCCATTTTGTAGTAACTTTAATTATATTTGAAATAGGATACACATGCATGTTTTTATTGTTGGAAATCAAATGCAAAGAGTAGGAGCTTCTGTCATGTTCTCATTCACTTACTGAGCTCTGTCTTACATTTGGAATTACAACACTACCGGAAGATAAAAGATCTGAGGATGAATTGGTTGGAAATGTGTATGCTTTTTCTGGATAATATCCAGTGTTTAAGAAAGTAGAGGAAATCCTAGTCTGCTAGTATAATCTTTTCAATAGTACATAAAGATTACGACATCAGAAAGGTAAACCTGACATTAAGACTGTTTTTAGTTGAGTTCAAAGGTGGTTAAAGAAAAGAAACAGCAAGAAATCTGACCCAAGCTGAGAGTTTATTCATAGCTTTGGAAGACTCCTTTTCCTCTATGCTAAGGAGTTCTTAGTACACTCAATTAGCCTCTCAGACATCACTGCTTTCCTCACTCAAGTGCTCCCCTATTTGCCCTGCAAAGAACATATTTGATCACTAAGTGAAAACAGGAAGTGCTCAAATGTATAGATACCTCCAGCTTACACCAGTGCTGAAATTAGGATTCCTTACCAGCAACCATAGAGCCCGTCCCCCTCCTCCCATGCCCTTTTTAAGGATGGAGGACCTTTAAAATATAGATACATAATCAGAAGAGAGGAAAGTTATAAAGGAAGTAATTATACCACTCTTTGGGCTTGTACCTCTGCTAGTTCATCCATTTCTGCAGCAGTGTGCCAAAGACTACATTTTTGCTACATTCAACATTTTTTCACCTTTTTTAACCGAGCTGGTAGAACCAGAGCCTCATTTATGCTTTGACACTTACCTGGAGTGATGCCCTTTGTTAAAATTCTATTTTGGTTGGTTTTTTTGTTGCAGTCTTTAAGAAGACATGTATCATAACTAATAGTACCAGATTTACCAATGGTAGCTTGCAAACTAAAGCTTTCTTACTGAAAGTGCCTAGTTCCTATCTGATGGTATTTGGGATGTGTCCCCTAAAGCCAGAGGAGTTGAGCTGGGTTTTTTGGTTTTTTTTTTTGTTTTTTTTTTTTTTTTTTTTTTTTTTTTTTTTTTTTTTTTTTGAGGAAAGTTATAAAGGAAGTAATTATACCACTCTTTGGGCTTGTACCTCTGCTAGTTCATCCATTTCTGCAGCAGTGTGCCAAAGACTACATTTTTGCTACATTCAACATTTTTTCACCTTTTTTAACCGAGCTGGTAGAACCAGAGCCTCATTTATGCTTTGACACTTACCTGGAGTGATGCCCTTTGTTAAAATTCTATTTTGGTTGGTTTTTTTGTTGCAGTCTTTAAGAAGACATGTATCATAACTAATAGTACCAGATTTACCAATGGTAGCTTGCAAACTAAAGCTTTCTTACTGAAAGTGCCTAGTTCCTATCTGATGGTATTTGGGATGTGTCCCCTAAAGCCAGAGGAGTTGAGCTGGTTTTTTTTTTTTTTTTTTTTTTTTTTTTTTTTTTTTTTTTTGTTTTTTTTTTTGCTAGCTGAAATTCTGTCTTCTAACTTTGAACAATGTCATTTTGGCCTGATTTCCACAATTTTCTGGCTGAAGATCTTACTCTTTACACAGTCTGTTATAGAATATATCTTGGTTTTATCTGTTTATCGTCAGGCTAACGTTCTCCTGGAAGGTGGTAAAATGAACCAGCCACAGCTTTTGTACTTACCTGAATTAATTTTCTTAACTTGTCATATTAGATGTCCAGATTGGATAATATGAATAGTCTCACTGAAACAGATTTTTTTTCTGTATTTATGTGGGTGTATCTGAGAATAAAATGTGTACCTATCATATTTTGATGAATGGCTTATCAAGCCTTTTATACAGGGCAGCTATTTTATTTATTCATTAGATTTTATTCAAGAGATGAATATCATCAACCAAAGCCAATCTTGGAGCAAGTGTTCAAGGAAGTTGAATCCAACCCACCTTCATAAATATCTCC